AGCTGCTTGGTGCCCTTGGCCGTCTTGAGGCCGATGATCACGTGGCTGATGGTCTTGCCGTAGCCCCCCATGGGGTTCTCGGTCTCGCACGGGGTGAGCTCGGTGACTTCGCCTTCGTAAACCTCCTTGGTCTCTTTGATCCGCAGCCCTGGAACAGAAGGCGGGAGACGCATGGAAGAGCAGAAGGCTCTCCCACAATTTCTCTGGCTCTCCCACCGTTCTTATCCGCCTTGCGAGCTCAAACACGTCCCTGTCCTAAGAAGTGACAATTCAGTCTTCGTGACGTACGGTGGGTCGGAGAGTAACGTCAACAACACACAGAAGTACGGCCGGGCGCGGTGGCTCACGCCTGGAGTCCCAGCTACTCCGGGAGGGAGGCCGAGGCAGGAGGATCGCTCGAGGCACGGAGTTGGAGGCCAGCGGAGCAAGAGCGAGACCCAAATCTCTACTATAAATAGAAAGAAATTAATTGGCCAACTAATGTATATACAGAAAAAAAATGAGCCGGGCGTGGGGCGCTGCCTGGAGTCCCAGCTACTGGGGAGGGAGGCCGAGGCAGGAGGCTCGCTGGAGGCCAGGGAGTTGGAGGCTGCTGTGAGGAGGCTGAGGCCACGGCCTCACTCTAGCCGGCGCGACAGAGTGACCCCTGTCTCAGAAAAAAAAGAAAGAAGAAATTAAAAAATAAATCAAATCTTTTTCACACCGTTACTCATTTCCTTAAAAAAAAGAAAGAAAAATGGGGGCATGGGCAATATATGTAACCCAAACACTTGTATCCCCATAATACGCTAAAATAAAAATTAAAAAAAGAAAGTAAAAAAAAAATTAAAAGATAAATTAAACCTTTTTTACACTGTTACACATTTCTTTAAAAAAAAGAAAGAAAAAGGGGGGCATGGGCAATATATGTAACCCAAACACTTATATCCCCATAATATGCTAAAATAAAAATTAAAAAAAGAAAGTGAAAAAAAAAAACAAAATTAAAAGATAAATTAACCAGGCCGGGCGCGGTGGCTCACGCCTGTAATCCTAGCTCTCTGGGAGGCCGAGGCGGGCGGATTGCTCGAGGTCAGGGGTTCAAAACCAGCCTGAGCAAGAGCGAGACCCCGTCTCTACTATAAATAGAAAGAAATTAATT